AGCCGGAGGGAGGGAAGAGGTGAGGAACATGGGGGGGCGGGGTGGGGGTGTGGGAGCATCTGGGGGCCGGGTAAGGAGAGCCAGCGTGCCCTCGGGGGTGGGGATGGTGGAAGAATATTGAGAGTAGAAGCTCAGCTTTGTCCCGTGCGACCTTGGGCAAGTCAATTACTCCCAAGCCTCCATCTCCCAGTCTGCAGAATGGGAGTAACCACAGCCCTGCTCCCTGGCTGCTAGGAGGGTCAGCCCCCTGGGAGCCACTGAGACCGGTGGACAGAGGAGCTCCAGGTGGAGCCGACACTTGTGGAGGCAGGTGGGGGGCAGGTGTCCCGGGGCCTGGCAGGACTCCATGCTTCTGCAGCAGGCTCTGTGCTCTGCTGGCTCCAGATCCTGGCCACAGTGCCTGCCATGGGAGTGATGGGAGCAGGCTCCTCGGGGCCTCTGGGGTCAGAGGGCACACGGGGGAGCCTCACAGCTGGTGTTTCTGGGGAGCACGGTGGGGGCAGGAGTCTAGCGGACGCTGGGGCACTGGCCCTCAGCTGCCATGAATTCTGCCTCAATATAAACACTATTGGGAATATTTCAGGCCTGTAAGAGCAAGAAAAACAAACCCAGGGACCCAGACAAAGAGCATGCAAATGCTAACTTTCATGTCACATCCAGAAACCACACGCGCGCCCAGCCTCCCGCAGGCTCGCGGCTCAGTGGGGAAGTGCAGGCTTGCTGTGTTAGAAGAATGGAGTGAGCCTCACAGCTGTGAGGGGGAAGTCCACTCATCCTCCCCGTCATCCCGAGCACAGTCCCTGCCCAGAACAACCCTCTGAGGAAGCCTGGAGCTCCTTGCCACTGCAGCCACCTGGGGCACAGGGTCCAGGAAGTCCTGCCCAGCAGTGGCAGATGCAGGACCCTAGTGAGGGTTCCCTACTCTTCAGTCACTCTCAAAGCCCCAGCCCGAGCTCGACCACCCACCAAGGGGGCAGGATGTGGCCAGGCCACGGGGAGGGGCCCAGGAGGGGGAGGGAGAGGAGCCACACAGCCCCCAGCCCTGCACTGCGAACCGGCTACCTGCTGGCTTGGGGCGGCCAGCTCTCCCTACCCTTGGACACAGAGATTCCGAGAAGCATCGCTTTTCCCCGAGCCACGCCAGATTCCACTGTCGAGCCCAGCACCTCGGAGGTATTTCCTTGGTTTCGCAATTCACGCAGTGACTAACACGTTACATTTCGAAAACTCCCCGGGTAAGAATTGCAGCTGAATTGTAAATACATAAAAGTCTGCGTATAAACGGGGTGCATGATTTCCAGGTGACTGTTTTGTAATCCCAAGATTCCGAAAGGATGTGGAATTCTATAAAATCCGGTGACAGGCTCCCATCCCTGAGTTAACCCTCGAAACCACCCTCATGGACAGCAGCCCTGACGTCCCTCCACTGTTATGTGACTTACAGACCCTTCCACGCTGCCCGCCTGCCTGGGAGTCGGGACACTTACCAGAGAGATAGGAGCTGGGACAGCAGGGCTCCACAGCCATGGCCAAGCTCCTCCAGGGCCTGGGCCCACCAGGCACCCCGCCAGGCTATGTACACGTCGGGCCACAGTGTCCCGTGTCATCCACTCTGCACTGCCCATCCTGAGACAGGTAGTGGACAGGCTGGGCAGTTGGGGTCTCTGTTCAAGGTCTGAGCAAAGAAACAGAAAAGGATGAGTGGTTGGTAGCAGGGCACCCCAGTGACGTCGTGCATGCTGGAAGCCTACAGGCATATTGGAAGGGCGAGGATGGAGAAATGCCGAGAGTGGCAAGGGAGAGGCCGTGGGGCCACCAGAGAGGCCGTGTAAGGAACGGGCCCACAGCCACCCAGCTGCTGGCAGCTCCAGCTCAGCCCAGTGCCCAGGGTGCGGGCAACAGCCCTGTCTGCCTGAAGCAGCCCTTCCTGTCCCCTCCACGCCCCAGCCATGCCCATTTATTGCTTCAGTGGATAACACTTAGCCGTCTGCCCCTACCCTGCCTCTTGTTTCCTTTTCCCGTTCAACACTGGCCTCCACACTGCACCTAGACTCTGTGCACACAGCAGCCCGACTAGGCTCCCGCCCAGCGCCTGCGCACAGTGGGCACCTAGCAAGGACTCACCGAATCCAGGCACCTGCGGGAGAACATGGGTGCAGCTGCCCACTTTGCCCACTACTGGGGCCACCTAAGAGGTCTTGCCGACATAAGCCCAGCCAGACACAAGACTTCTTGTTCCTTCTGTGACCTCAGACAGGCAGGGGCAGGGCAGGGCGGCTCCCTCATCAGCAGAGCTCAGGCCAGGAAGTGGTGGTGCAACCAGAGACACTTACGCGACAATAAACTCCTGGTGAATATTGATTTTTCTTCAAAGTCCGGGGCCTATCAGTCTCCTCTCAGCACCCCGACCCCAACCCTCCCCCACAGCTGCCTGACAAGCCTGGAGACTCCAGCCATGGAGGCTGGGAGCTCTGTGGTGCTGCAGAGCCTACCCCCCACCCTGGCCAGGACCCTCCCCACCAACATTCTGGTAACTTAGACACTGCAGCTGACGGCTGTTGCAGTCTGTGGAAAATGTGTCCACCCAGTGACAAAGCGTCAGGAGGGCACTTGGTGAAGAAATGCCCGCTCTGCCGAATGCGGGGTGGACACTCCATTTTGGAAGCATGCAGGTGCCCCTTCATTGTGCTGGGAGCTCTGGGGTCATTGTCCCAGCTCTCAAGTCATTCGGAGCAGGGCTCACAGGTCATGCGATAAGCACCGAAATAGAGGTATGTCTAGGGCTCCAGGAGAGAAGATCCACTGAACGGGTGAGCAAAGGCCTCTCTCAGAAAGGACATCTTCGTGGTCTCTGCAGACCTGGGCCCCACGTCTCCTGAATGCTGATCGTATCGGAGCCAACTGGGCCCTAATGGAATTACACTGTTCTCCATGGTGACAAGCATGTCTAGGTCACACAGGGAATGACTGTATTCTTCCTTCTTTTTATTATAGAAACGACTTACAATGCGCGAAAAGACATTTCCCTTAATTCGATTACCAAGTGAGCTAAGAGCATTTGCCAGAGATAATTAAAAATCGTCATAAATACAAAATAATTATCCCATCAAAATACAGTGCTAGATGTATTATTGGAGCAGGCTTTTCAATCACACGCCCCTTGTTCAAAGCAGTGCTCTAGCCCCCACGAGGGCATGCCCACCCCCGCCAGGAGCTGCTGCCACCCCAAAGGCCCCCCGCGCCCTTCCAGGCCTCGTCTTGGCCCGGCACGGCTGTCAGACGGCAAGATGTAGACCAGAGGAGCCTGGGAGACGTGACAACCCAATGTAGTGCTGTTCTGGCCCAAATCGTGGACAGAGGCTGTTGGTGGGAAAAGTGGTGAGGCCGTAACGCCGGGAGGCCAGTTACTCTGAGGGGCCGCTGCTAGTTTCTCCGCCTTGCAGAAGTCCCACAGCCGTGTGTGATGTTGACAAAGCGAAACAGGGCAGGGGGCTTGCAGGAGCTCTCTGTACGGTCTTTGCAACTTTTCTACAAATCTAACATTATTCTAAAACAAAAGGTTTACAAAAATAAATCAAAACACAGGACTGAGTGAGCGAAGAGGAGGGCAGACTCACACTGTCGCTCCTGTACCCTCCTGTTTGGAAGCCCACCCCAGACCCCCAGCCCAAGGGTCCTGGCAGCCCAGCCCTGCTACTGCAAGATGATTTCTGGGGACCAGCAGCCCACCGCGGTTGCTTCCTCTACTCGGCACCCTCTTCCCCACTCACGCCCTATCTAGTCCAAAGTGCGGACGCTGGCAGAACCCAATGGGATCCTGGGCAGCCCTGCCTGGATGATGGCCCACAACAGCTCACACTCCTCCCACGAGCAGCCCTGGGAGGTAAGCCGTGTGTCTCCACGCTGGTCACATGCGCCAGGGGCTGCTGTCAGCACTGTGCCCACAATCAACCCTCCACAGATACCCCAGCTCCTCCTGCACCCCACTCTCCATGCGGCCACCTTGCTCCCTCACTCCACTTCTGAGCACTACTGGGAGAAACAGGGTCTTCCACTCCCTGGCCCAGGGGCTGCCCCAGCTGGAACCAGCGCTGGCCCTGCTGGGCTGTGTGCAAGTCCCAGGTGATTCCTCCACATCGGGGACACTCTGGGGGTGCCTCATCCGGCCCTGCTTGTCAGATAGCTGCATGCAAGGCAGATGCACTGGCACCAGGACCGATACCGAGGCCAGAACCGGGACCGGGGCCGGAACCTGTGACCTGCAGCAGGGACTCAGCAGCCCCGACCTTCTGGGTCACTGAACTCAAGAGGCGGACTCCCTTAGAGTCCCTCAGAGCTGCACTCTGCTCAGAGGGGCCCCTCCCACCCTAATATGCATATTAAAAATATTTTTAGTAATCCCTGAAATACTTTAACAATTTTTCTGCTTTAGGCAAAACTGGGCAGGTCTTCTTGGGCCTCTGAGTTGCTGCTGCTGAGACAGACATCGTTCTCTGTGCCTGCAACACTGAGACAAGCCCCCCCCC